TCTCAAAAGACAAAAATAAATAAATAAATAAATAAAATTGAAATTGGCAAAAGAAAAGTAGGCTCTATTAGGAAGTATTTGATGAGAGGCAAGGACCCTGGGCCTGGCGCCCCTCCCGACTGCCCTACTATCAAGGGCTTCCCCCGCTCCAGGTTATATTAATAGCGGGTCTTTCAAGTCAAATGGACTTTCTGCCACCTCTCCAGCCTCTGCCCCTTGTGTTGCCTGCTCAGAGATGGATACCCACAGCGTCCCCCATGACCTCTTGAAGCGCCCGCTCTTCCTACCTTAGGAAAATTGCCTGTACCTTTCCGCCCTGCACTGGCTACCCCTGCTCATCAAAAACCCACCTCCTCCATCCGGGCTTCCCAGACTCTGCTCACCCTTCGGGATAAGGCCAGTGTTAGGACTCTGACTCGGTTCCATCTGGCTTCTTAATTGGGAGTGAGGAGACAGGGCTGGGTCTCAGAAAGACGTGACTGCAGACAGCCAGGCATGAGATTTCAGACTGCTCTGACCACTGCTCACAGTGAGAAATGCGTCTCATGTACCAGCCACGACACGCGAGCCAGCGCACACATAGAGAACAGGGAAGCCAAAGTTTTGTGAAAATAATGCCCTCACTATGTGTGAGTCACTTGGATATTTTCTGTGCTGTTTATTAATCTTTTTTTTTTTTTTTTTTTTTTCTGGTACCGGGAATCGAACTCATGACCTTGCGCTTGCCAGGCAGGCGCTGTGTCGCTGAGCTACATCCCCAGCCCTGTGCTGTTTAATTTTTAGACAAAAATGTTGGCTGTGACTTACCAATCCCCTAACCCGTTAGGGTCCCAGCCTGCAGGGAGAAAGATGCAGCTTGAGATCGTAGCTGTGTCTCTTGCCCCCAGCCCGGACGGTCACCTCTACCAGACCCAGTCAGCACCGAGGCTGCTTGGTTGGTTCCTTCCTGGTGTGTCTGGAGTAAGAGAATAAACAAAGAATGCCTCCTCGCTAAGTGGCTGGGTCGGCCCTGCCAAAGACGCCCGCCTGCTGCCGCTGTCACCTCACTGCTCAGGCACTGCACGCTGGATTTCTCTCAGAAAGAGCTAGCAGTGCTCAGTTCCTGTGGGTGGGCCTTTGGTGGGCTCTGATCTCTGCAGTCTCCTTCGTGTGCTCTGCTTGGCTGTGCAACAAAAAAAGAGCCATGGTCACAGATGCTATCTCAGGAGACTGAAGTCTGTAAAGCACTCTAGACACCTAAAAGAAACATGCCAGATTCCGCGACCCTTCAAGGGTCACATACTACATCTCATCCATGGTGAAGAACCTCCCAGGCCCGGCAGGGCTCAGCAGCACAAGGGACAAACAGAACAAAGCGGAATGTGGTGGTGTCTGCCTGTGGTCCCAGCTGCTGTGGAGGCTGAGGCAGGATGATTGCTTGAGCCCGGGAGCTCAAGCCCTGCCTGGGCAATCGGTGAGACCCTATCGCAGAAAAAGAAGAAGTAAAAGAAGAAAGAAGCGTGAAACACAAAGCTTCTGCATGATGGTGTCATGATGGAAGAAACATGTTACTGTCCAGAGGTCGGACGATAAGTATATTTAAGATGCATTCCAGGTGCAAGTGTGTCTCGGAGCCTACATCTTCCTTTAGATTTTAACCCCAAACTGA